CCCCACTCTGAAGGGGGTGTGACCAGCTGCAAACAGCCATCAGCCCATCATACAGGCTGGCCAGGCACCCCAGCGGAACCCCCACCCTGATCCAGGACACCTTTCAGGGCAAACCAGCCGGCCCCAATCCATGCACCAGGCCTCTATCCTATATAATAAAAGGGTAATATGCAAACTGACCCTAACAGCAGAACGACTGGGAATGACTGGTCACTATGACACATACTGACCACCAGGGGGCAGATGCTCAATGCAGGAGCTGCCCCCTGGTGGTCGTGTGCACTCCCACAGGGGGAGCTCTGCTCAGCCACAAGCCAGGCTGATGGCTGCCAGTACAGTGGTGGTGGGGGGAGCCTCTCCCGCTTCCCTCAGCAGTGCTAACAATGTCCGACTGCAGCTTAGGCCTGCCTCCCCGCTGGCAAGTGGACATCCCCCGAGGGCTGTCAGGCTGCCAGAGGGATGTCTGACTGCCAGCTTGGGCCCAATCCCCCAGGGAGCGGGCCTAAGCCAGCAGGTGGACATCCTTCGAGGGGTCCCAGACTGCAAGAGGGCATAGGCCGGGCTGAGGGAACCCTGAGTGCACAAATTTTTGTGCACCGGGCCTCTAGTCTAAACATATAAAGAGGTAATATGCAAATTAGGCCGGGATGCCATAATGGGTCACGACCAGACAGGAGGAGGTTGTGTGCGCAGGTGAGGCCCCGGAGCGGAGACAGAGACAGACACGGGGGCCTGCCTGAGCCAGCGCAGTGGCTCCGGCGGCCCGGAGCGGGACACAGGCAGGGGGGCTGGGAGGGCCTGGGGTGGAAGTCAGGCCGAGGTGCCAGTCAGGCCTGACTCCCGTGGCCCGGGGGGTGCCTCCTTGCACAGCGGAAGGCGGGGCGCCTCCTCGTGTGATTTCAATCGTGTGCTGGCCTCTAGTATTTAAAATAAAAAGGCTGAGTCTCTTCTAGCTTTTGGATTACTTGATTCTACATTATATAATTTGTATTCCATAGAGAGAAAACCTAGTCTCCTTTTCTAGGTAGTGGTGAAAGCTTTTCAATATGTGTTGCATATCTGACTTACATTGTCCTATATTGGTACAATATAGCACTTCTCCTGTGCCTTCTTCCACTTAGAATAAGTGGACTTGCAAAACTGTAAATTAATTTTTAAGAGGTTAAATCATATTTTTAAAAATTTTTATTAGTCAAAAGAATTCTTTTATGTATTTTAAAACGAATATGAATAATTGTCATCTGAATTTTTATTGTTAAACAAGAAACAACTGATAATTTTTTTAGATACATAATTAATTTCACTACTAAAATCCTGGTTCATAAGGAAATGATTTACCACTTTTATTAAAGGAGAATGCTTGCCATCTACTGGCTGTGTCTTGGAATAATGGAACCATACTTGAGTGTCCTGTAGTAATTATTTATTTATTTAGCTTCATTGAAGAGGCATATCTTAGGATAATTAAATATCTTAAGATAATTAAATATCTTAGCATGTCTTAATATGATAAAGGCAGAAAGTGATAGGATGGAATGCCAACTCCAAATTCATAAAGGTTATACTAAGGCAGTGGTTCTCAACCTTCCTAATGCCGCGACCCTCTAATACAGTTCCTCATGTTGTGGTGACCCCCAACCATAAAATTATTTTCGTTGCTACTTCATAACTGTAATTTTGCTACTGTTATGAATCGTAATGTAAATATCTGATATGCAGGATGTATTTTCATTGTTAAAAATTGAACATAATTAAAGCATAGTGATTAATCACAAAAACAATATGTAATTATATATGTGTTTTCCAATGGGGTCGTGACCCACAGGTTGAGAACCGTTGTACTAAGGCATGATATACTGTAAGACCTTCTTGATAAAGAGTTTAGGTTACTGTGCATTTAAACATGAAAAGAAGAGGAACTTTGTGAATACTCTAAAGTGTATAAAGAAAAACAGTAAAAGAGATGTTTGAGTGGAGATCTATCTTAGGTAACCTGTGTTGGATCTCTTTGACATTTATGCATTTTAACATGAAAAAATAGCTTAAAACTGTAGTAGAACTGATTTGTCAATTATCTCTTACTTTTCTGTTTTAGAATGGGTTTCCATATGCCACCATTCTGTTCCATTTCCCACTTGCACCTTCATGTCATAGCACCAGTTGATCAGCTTGGCTTCTTATCAAAATTGGTTTATAGACCAAATTCCTATTGGTTCATCACAGTAAGTGTTATTGTTATACTAGCAGCATACAAAAGTATATAAAATATCTGTCCTTTTTTATGTAGCTTTTCTTTTCTTGGAGACAGCTTTTATAGGCTTGATCATCTATTTTAACATACTGCTTGCACATATCCAAAATAATATTTTTAATTTGGGGGATTTTTCAGGTCATCAGATCTGTAGAAGAGAAGCTAAGGCTGAGTCTCTCCATTGCAGGTAGAGGATGTGATATAGAAGAATCATGGCATTTATAGTTCAGAATCCAGAATCAAATCTGGATTCAAATTCTGGCTTCATTAATTACTTGAGGGACCCTGTGCAAGTTACTTAAGATTTTTAAGGCCCAAGTTCTTTATTACCTGCATATAGGTAATAGTACCTATTTCTGTAGAATTTATAAAATAATTTACATGTAAAGCACTTAAAACTGTACCTTACAAATAGTAAGTACTCAATAAATGTTACCTGCAGCCTCTGTCTTCATTAGCAACATTATTGTAGAAATTGAGATTTTGTAATTTTTGATATTTAAACTTCTTAAAAAAGGGCTGTAGTAGTAGCATCAACTACCAGATGTGAGGTTGAAGCTTTGAGCCTAAAAAATTGCAAAATTCTGCTTTGCTAGGACAAAAGTAGAATAGAATTCAGCTGCTTATAGACCTGTGGTCTGACAGTCAAGGTTAAAAAATGACTCGGTCCTTCCAGGGCCACTTGCTTAGTGATTTACCAGTCTCTTATTTTATGTGTCCATGATGATAAGGTGACCTAGAGTTGCTATATCTGAGTAATTATAAAATTGTAAATTAAATAATTACTATTAATTAATGCATATTATAATAGTCATAGTAAATAAGAAATTCAAAAACACCTGATTTCTAGAAACCTCATATTTCAAACTTATTTTTTCTTTCTTCAACTTGCTTAAATGATTTATTTAATTAAAATATATTTAAGGAATGTGTGTGTATTTGAAATGAAATAGTGTGATATTTTGTGGGACAGTTGATGTAGTCTTTAAAATATCAGTGTAACTAAAAACAAGATTTTTTTCTTGTATTTGTATTTCTAATTTTCTACATGAGCCATGCTTCTATAATAAAAACTAATTAAAAATACATTTTTGTAAAATAGTCATGGGGATATAAAGTACAGTATAAGGAATATAGTCAATAATATTGTAATGACTGTGTATGGTGTCAGAAAGTTACCAGACTTACTGAGGTGAACACTTCTTAAGGTACCTACATATCTAATCACTATGTTGTACACTTGAAACTAATATAATATTATATGTCCACTGTATTTGAAAAATGATTTTTTTTATGAGGGGAATTCTGACCAATGCTACAGCGTGGATAAACCTTGAGGACATTATACTCAGGGAAATTAACCAAATAGTATATGATTCCACTTACATTTAGGTTTTCTGTAAGATGTTTTTAGGAAGAGAATATGTATTATCCGGCTGGTCTGCTGTGGTTTATTATAATAGGGACGCCAGTAGAATTTTTCACACCAGCTCCCATATTTGTGATAAAAAACATGTTGTGTTTTTAAAATTACAGGCTGACTATTTGATTGAAAAACTAAGAACATGAAAATGACAGCAGTGGAAGATTTTCTTATTCTTGGCTCAACAGACACTAATATTTTGGTCCCTTTTAAATCAAATTACAATGGTAAGGTTTGTTGGGTTTTATAAGAGGCTATTACTGGGTAGCCTTAAGTCTTTTCTGAATGTCTATTTCCTGAGATCTGTAATATATGACTACTCTGGCATTGTCTTCTTTGTTTTAATGGTTACTTGTCTAAGGTATAAGATACTACAGATAAAATTTTATTAAAACAAATTCTGTTAATCAAGAAGGGCTCTGTATTTTTTAAAAGTTCAAGTATTTTCATTTCTCATTATTGTCAGTTATAATAGTGATTTATTATGAAGAATAAATGGGTATAGAAAGTACTTTGTTGGAGTTTTTATTATTATGAAAGAGAAAAAAGAAATTAACTATCTCTTGACAGTTTCATAATTTTGTACATATTTCAAAGTAAAGTACTGTATTACACAGTGATCTCTGATCTTGATAGAATTTATATGTGTCACTTTTTTAAAAAAAATATTTTTATTGATTTCAGAGGAAGGGAAAGGGAGAGAGAGATAGAAACATCAATGATGAGAGAGAATCATTGATTGCATGCCTCCTGCATGCCCCCTACTGGGGATCAAGCCTGCAACTCAGGCATGTGCCCTCAACTGGAATTGAACCTGTGACCCTTCAGTCTGTAGGCCGATGCTCTATCCACTGAGCCAAGCCGGCTAGGGCTATATGTCACTTTTTACTCAGATTTCAGATGTTGGCTTTTACTTCTTGAAGCCTAGCATTTGTGTAATAAATTAGTCCTGAAATTTGTATAATATATAAATGCAATAACCATCAATTTGGCTATCTAAAAGAATTCACTGTAATGGAATTTTACCTGTAAGAACATATGTGGGAAATAAAGATAAAATAGTTACATTAATTTATTAAAACGGGCAGAAACTGCTGTTTTATGGTTTGTTTGCTGTGCCAAAGGAAAATTAGAATTGAAAAGTAATTAGATCTAGTTTTAATCATGAAAACATCCTGGTTTGAAAGTAGAGAGAGACCGTCTTGGATGAGAAAATGTATGTTAATAACACAATATTAATTTTATTGATGTATTATTTTATGAGACATATTTCTTTAGGAATTGCTTTTTGTTGCTAATCTATATTAATAATATCACTATGTGAATGAAGAATAGCAGGTACCGAAAGCTAATCCTACATTGTGCCAGTGTATATTAGTACTATGTACTTGAATATAAGTGAACATAAGAATTAAAATATTGATGTTAGGAATGTAAGGATTATATTCATTCATTCAGCAAACATTTACTGAGCATTCAACGTGTATTAGCCATTGCCAAGATCAGCAAATATAGAAGTGGGAAAGGACTGCCTTCAGTGGCTAAAACCAGTGATTACAATTAAATGTGTTAAGTGCTATAATGTCTACAGAAGAGGCTGTGGAGAGGGAAACACTTTTGAGAGCAGGTGGCAGTAGAATTGAGTATTTAAGACTCAATGTTAGGCAGGAAGACAGTGGAACTTTAGGTTGAGACCCAAATGTACTTTTTCTTGTGTTCTGCTTCCATTATAATTTACTTTACAATTGACATGAATGCCTAAATTCCATTTTATTCATCAGAGGTGGAGAGAGGAATTCAGGAGTAGGGGTTATGGACTCTCAAAATTAGATTAACAAGTTTTTGAGCACTGCTTTGTTAAGTAGCTTGCTGAGCACCTACATAGATTAGCAGCTACAAGTTTATATAAATCAGTTCAAATATGACCAGATACAGAAAAGGAATATTCAGCATGTGCTTCATGTTGTACTATGTGAACTTGCAATGACATCATTGACAATTATGGTAATAACATGTAGTACTTATGGAATTCTCAATGACTTATGAACCTTTTAAAAAATGTATGCCTGGCTGGTGTAGCTTAGTGGTTGAGCATCGACCCATGAACCAGGTGGTCATGGTTCTATTCCTGGTCAAGGCACATGCCCGGGTTGCGGCTTGATCCCTAGTTGGGACATGCAGGAGGCAGCTAATTGATGATTCTCATCATTGATGTTTCTATCTCTCTCTCCCTCACCCTCCCTCTCTCTGAAATCAATAAAAACATATTTTTTAAAAATGTGATTAGCCAGTTGATTTAATTCATATAAGTTTATACTCTCACAGTACGCTTTTCTTCTTTGTTGAAAAACCCTTGGAACCTCACACTTTTAGGTCAGTTTTATTTTACTTGTAAAGATTGATAATGAAATAATTGCAATTAAAACTTACACAGCCTTTTCAATAGTTTAAGAATTTGGTAACTCTCTAACTATCTATAACATTAGCTCAACACAAAGCTGTTTTAAAATGTTTTAAGTAGTATCGAACTTAAAATAATTCTAAAAAAAAGTATGTTGCCCTGACCGGTTTGGCTCAGTGGGTAGAGCGTCGGCCTGCGGACTGAAGGGTCTCAGGTTCGATTCCGGTTAAGGGCATGTGCCTTGGTTGCGGGCACATCCCCAGTAGGGGGTGTGCAGGAGGCAGCTGATCGATGTTTCTCTCTCATCGATGTTTCTAGCTCTCTCTCTCCTCTCCTCTCTGTAAAAAATCAATAAAATATATATTTTAAAAAAAGTATGCTAATTTTTATGAATTAGCTTTTATTCTAGCAATATAATACAGGATGGGACAAAAGTAGATTTACAATTGTTCATATGAAAAATAGTACAATAATTAATAAATAAGAATAAACTGTTTCATGTACTCACAACTATAAACCTACTTTTGCCCCACCCTGTATAAAAAACATCTCTGATTCAGCTTAAATGAACTTGGTATCTTGCAATCTCAGTCTCATTGTAAACAAAAGAATCAAATTAAGTAAAATTAAGGACTGGCCCAAAGAGCAAAGGCATCCCTAATTTTGGCAGGTCCTGGGTTAGGCTTCTTTTTTGGAAAACTTTTTATTTCAGCCAGCAGCAGAACAGTTTCTCTCAATCAGGCTGCATCTTACATTTGCCTGGAAATGTATGGCCCTTGATTATTTGAATTGTGGCAGCACTAGAGTTTAAGAATGACTATGAGAGAAGACTGAATCTCCAGCCCATTGTCATTCACATTTTTTCTGTGCTCAGAACCTGTTTCACAGGTAAGAAATTAGTGGGCTGAAATTGCAATTAGGGCTTCAGATTTGCTCTGGAGAGTCTTTTGACCAAAGGACAAGATCTCCTTTGCTCCACTTCTAGTTGGGAGTTTAACCTCAAGGAGCAGAGTCATACTTAAATCAACTGCAGCTCTTTAAGTTTGAGTGGGTGCCTCAGAGTCCCAGCTTGTTCAGGTCTGCTTCCAGAGAGCACCTGGTGTCCTCTCCTTCTCTTCCTGAATCCTCTCCATTAAGCTTGACGATGCTGGAGACTCTTCTGTTCCATAGTTCTTATATAATAATTTCTTCCAATAAAATTTTATTCTCCAAACTGTTCAAAAGCCCCCTTGTTTTTTACTCATTGCAAAAATCTTCTATTTTAGTAACTAATACAAAGACACATTTTCTCCCTCTCATTGGCACACAAATCCCTGTGGTTCTCTGTGATACCCAATCCCTTTTCAGGTGTGAGATGCTCCATCTGATACAGATGCATGAGCAGTGTTGACATTACACATGACACCTGCTGTTGGAAACTTAACTCTGCTCATTTCCTTTCTTCACTGACTCTGTGCTACTAGTCTCAACACTGTAGTGGTTTGTTATAATCATAACACAATACAACATTCTCCAATTCCCGGTCCTTACTTCCCAGCAACGTGTCTGGTTTTTTAAATAATCAACAGTCTGTGCCAGAGGCTTCCATGCTTGAACAACAGTAATTCTCATGGGAGGAGCCAAGTCTCTTAGAGTTCTGCCCTGGTGGATGAAGCAGGGCTCCAGCTTTGGGTAAGTTCCCAGAAGACAGACAATGAACCTCCTTGCCTCAGTACAAATAAAAAAAAAAAAAAAATGGAAGTTTCTAGATTCTAGTTTGAACACCAGCTTCCAAAGTCCAAACTCTTCTGTGGTTCCTTAACTACTGTAGTAAACTCGAAAAACATTGAACAGGCCAGGCTGTGAGTCCCTCAAAGGTAGTTCCACACTAACCCTAATGGCCTGCCTGTACAGGGTTAATTTCTTAAGAGAAGAAATATCTCCTTAAATGCCATTTATCAGCCCCATACAATATGCCAGGTATTACATTAAACACTTTATGTACATCACTTCGCTTGGTCCTAACAGTCCCTTGAAGGAGGCAGTATTTTTACATGTTAGATAACAGAGACTAAGACATTTGTTTACAAACATACAGTTGGTAAATAGTGGAACCGAGGTTTGGACCTAAGATTAACACCGACAGCTTATGTTCTTAATCACGAGCTAAGCATCAGCTACCTTCTTGGCACAGGATGCTCAGATGTAGGATACCGACCCTTTTGTACTTTGCACATTACTACAGTGGAATGCAAAATAGCTCTCAATGAAGGATCCAGTACTCTCAAAAGCAACAACACATATACGTATAACATGCAAATTATTAAAACTTATATGTGCTGCCTGCTATGGCGAATGTGCTAGAGCGAACAGCTGGAAGCAGCTTCCATCATGGTTTTAACACAGTTGGCTGCGGTCAGGGCGGTCTAACATCACAACCTCATAGTGATTGGTGCTTACACTGAGGACATTGTTTTGCTTTCTCTGAGGTACAGAATGAACATAAGAGATGTTCTTGGCCCTCCAGAGTTTACTATAATTGGCTTACAAAGCATGTACCCTTAAAAGGTTATTGCAAAAATGCAGGAAGTATAGGAAATGTTGAGTGAGTGGTTCAGGGAAGTCAGTCCCAGAGCCTGGAGTGTCAGAGAAGTCTGCGCGAGGAGGGGAACCCGGGTTGGAGAAAGGTGCAGAGCGAGTGGCGGGGCCGCCAGTCTCCTCGCCATCAGCTCCGGACACAGCGCGCTCCCGGCTACGCCCACTCGGAGCGCTCCGCCTGAGGGCGCGCCGCAGCCACAGCCCCTCCGCGCCGCGGGGT